AATTGAGTTTATTAGGTTAAAATAAATTATTATCTCTCATAGACAGAAAAGGACATAAAAAAAAAGTAAAATGAATATTAAATTATAAAGACCAGTCTTACAGTTTTGTAAATCAAATTTATTTTTATTAATTTTTAAATTATTATTAGACAAGATCAAACTATAAATTACTGAACGTATTTCTTTTCAAAAAAAATCAAATTTTAAATTAAATAAAATTTAATACTATCTAATCCTTTGTGGTGGCGCTAGCAATAACAACTTGTGGTTGTTGTCTATATATACAGATGAGTAAATATGACGTAAGAGAGTGATTGAGAGGATTGCTTGAAAGAAAGTAAAAAGGTGAAAAGCATGCCAAAACATGTATCCCATCATGAGACTCAATGCACGCGACTTTGCCTTCCCAATGATAGCCATTCCCTCAGGAAATGGAATCCCAAGTCATGCCCCTATCTATCCATTTTATCTGTATCTTTACTACTTGTCCTTTTCTTACCACTTTTTAATTATTTTATCCGCTTCAATTTAATCACATATTGATACCATTTTTGAGGATCAAATAAACACATTAAACATATTAATCTCCTAATTCAAACACATAAAAAAAAATCAAAAAGCACCTAAATCACTGAAATAAACCTAGCTATAACTTGTAGAAGATATGTTGTTAAACAAAATTTGTTCCTAAGATACTTCTTGATATATATGTATATATACACACACACGCACACCTGGAAATCAAAGCACGGACTTGCTACAGTGAAGAAACTAAAGTGGTCAAAAATAATAACGTAACTTTTGACTCTTGGAGATACCTTAAACCAAAGTCTATAGGACGTCCTAATAATTGCCCCTCCAAGAAACCCAAAACGTAAACATGACATATTCTAAGACGCCAATCTAGGGACTAGGCTAGATACATCTGGCACCAGTTTATCTTAAAATTAATACTTCCTTTATTTAAAATATAAGATATTTTTAACTGAATTTTACCTTTAATAAAATAATTACGTACTTTTAAATTAATATTATCTTTTTATATTTATCTTTATTAAATACTTTATAATAAATATAAAGTCACTATCAATAGGGACACTTTTGAAAAAAATAATAATTACATCTCGAAAGATTAAAAGATTTTATATTTTTTAACATCCGACCCCTCAAAAAATACCTCACATTTTTAAATGGAGGAAGTAATTTATGGGTGGGTGGAATTTTGTTGTTCCAAATTATAAGATGATTTAATAAAAATAAAATTTTACTAATAATGTTTTTTTAATATTATCTTCACATTGACAGATAATTAGAATGATTGTAAATTTGAAATTATATTAAAAAAATATATTTTTTTAAATTTTATACTTTTATCCTAAAAAGTAAATTTATAAAGTATTATTATTAAATTTTATTAATTATTGGTATCTGTAAATTTGTTTCAAATTGTTTTATAATTTGAAAAAGAAGGAAGGAGTGTAATCCATACTTGTGTTCCGTTTATATATGCCCCATTGCATAAAGTGTTAAGGGAAAAAGCAGAGTGTGAAGGGAAAGTTGGAGATGAGATTAAAAGTTTAAATATTTGGGTATAAGCTGTAAAATATTAAAATAAAACTCACAGGAAATCATTAATTTAGCCTAGGGGAAATTGTGTTTCAATGAAAAATATTAAAATATTCTTCTCTTTTTGGTAGAGATTTTTTTTTCAGAAGTTATTAATAATTATCTTCATTTTTCTTCCATACCTTCGATCCTTCAAACATTCTTCATTGGGCTGCACTTATCTTCAATATTAATAACATATGTTAATGATATATGGAACATATTTGAAAATTAATTCATATCGTTGAAGAAAATGCAGACCATTCCCCCAAAAAAAAAAAAAAAGCTGAAGCCTATTGAAAGAACTTGGAAGACTGTTGTGAATTTGAAGGCGTGGTTGAAAAATGAATATCATTAAAGATATGTAGATGACATTTGAAGACTAGTGCAGAAAATTTCATTTCATTAAAAAAAACATTGATGCTGAATATACATGGAAGAAAAAATTTGAAGATTAGCGAACCCATTGAAAAAAATTGCAAATCATGAATGAAGCTTTCAAGAAATACCAAGAGTGTATGTTGAAGGATCGGAGGCATGGAAGAGAAATTGAAAATTGTTGAAGATTCATAAATGACGTGTAAAAATTGATGCCAAAAGTGAAGGATATTTTAGTAACTTTCACTGAAACATATATTTTGCCTCCGGTACGACAATGTAGAGTAATAATTTATTTTTTATGTTATAATAATGATTTCGTCGTTAAATGATCTCATTCCTTCGTATTCAATATATTCTTTTCTAATCAAAATAATTAATCTAAAAAATATTTAGTTCTTTATGTAAAGATATTGATGGCAAGTTAATTAATATCATTAATTATAACGAATGCGGGATATGCTGTTTATGCCTATGGGGACCATTTTGAGTTGAATAAAATTGATTTGAGAACTAAATTAAAAGATTCAAGCATGAGTTGGACTAGGCGCGGATTGGAGCGAACCTTCAGCCCTGTTTGGTTTTGTTCCCCTGTTGGGTCTTGAACTGCAATGGACCGATCCAAATGAAACTTAGCCTAGCAAAAACTAATCTCACTTGGACCTAATGAAATAAATCAATAAATAAAATGGCTGACTTGAATATAACTCAAAAAGACATTCAACCAACCAACCACCTTGGCTCAGGTGACAATGGATCTAAGTTTGCTTAAGCATCAACTCTTATAGTTTGATCCCTGGGGTGATGGGAATGGAAAAAATGTGCTTGGGAGAGCTTCTCCTTGTTTTGGGGCCCCGACCTAGCTCAAATTCGGATTAGTAGAGGTTGTCATCTTTAGACACCAAATGGTGAAAACCACCAAAAAAAAAAAAAAAGAAAAAGAAGAAAACAGACATTCAACTAGAAGAAGCTTTAATTTATTAAACATTGTTTAAAGAATCACACTAAATGGTCGCATCTGTTGGACTGTCAATGGGAGCCATTAATGGCTTAGTTTGGACAAAAAAATATTTTTATAATCGGATTGAGTTTGGATTGGAGTTGAGTTGTCATTGAATTAGAATCATAGTTGACAAAATTGAAAAGTAAAGCAAAAGTTACCTTTCCAATTATTGTTATTTCTGCACTTATGGATAAAAAAATGGATTTTTGACTTTTTTGGTGTCCAAATTTTTTGGATTTTGTGTAATTTTTGGCACGATTAAAATTATTTTAGCTGATTAATAAAAAAGTTAGTCTTTTTAATTCATTCTAGATGCTTTAAAAGTCATGCACAATTTTATAATAGCTGATTTATGGTTTTAGTAAAAGAACCACTCATTACAAAATATTGAGGGCAAGGACCTTTTGAGTAAAATTAATTTCATTTCTTGAGAATTAAATTCCAAACTCTAAACGTAGCCAACCAATTTGAGGCAAGCTCAAGTGATCAAAGTTTTTTTTTTTTTTCCCGTTCCTATCTTATAAGTCAACTAGATCAAAAGGTTTACTAGTCAATTCAACCTCTAATTTAAGTTGATTTTAATAATACCATTCTTCATTGATAAGATAACATGTGTGTGTGGATTTGGGTTTATTATATTCATAGATATTATTAAAGATGTACTTTCTCCATTTTTATTTACAAGTGAGACTCAACGATTCATGCATCCGCATTCAGTGCTCATCAAACCAAGAGTCATAAATTAATCTAAATAAATGGTTGAGATTAATTTGAATTGAAATGAAGAATTATGAGCCAATAAGCATGCGGTGATCATCAGCTCATCACAAGTGATGAGCATTGATCACCAAATGCAAATCCATGAATCATAGGGTAAGGAAAACTTAAAATTTATTAATTTTATCTAAAAAATATTTTTTTTAGTTTTGCCCCTATTATATATATATATATATATATATTAAATTTTAATAACAATTTTTTTCAATATTTAACAAAAAGGTAAAAAGAAAAAAGAAAGAATTAAAATCCATTTTTAACCTTAAAGTGTTTGAGGAGAAGCACCAATGTTCGGACCGCCTTGTCGTAACAATATTATACTTAAATAATTAAAACATAGCGATTTTAAGATAACATTAAATCTTCATAAACGTTGGTTAGTTAAGGTAAGTAGGATTCACTTTTTGAAACATGTGACAACTGACTTGGCTTGATAAATGTTGATGCTGTTGAATATAATATATACAGTTCAGGCAACACACACACACACACACACACACACACACACAGTTAGCCCGAGTAGATTGAATGGAAATGGCCCCAGTAAAGGTAAAAAGAGCTTTGGACTTGGGATTCCAGATGGACAACGATGACTCATAACCATATTGGCATTGCCCATGACCCGCGTCCATGCTGCTGCCGAGAAGGTAGCGAAGTTTAATGTTGTATCTGAATTAATAAACATTTAAATTTAAATTAAATTTCTTATTTAAATATATAAAAATTTATGAATTAAATTTAAATTTAATTCAAATCCAAACTTATTTAAAATTATAATTTATTTGTAATTTTAAGTTTTTTTTTTTCATACTTTAATCATTTAAAATTTTAATTATTTTAAATATTTAATATTTTTTCTCTTCACATTTTTATTATTGATACTTTCAAAATTCTTATATTTCTTTTTATTTTTTATCAATTAAAAAATAAAAATAAATTTATTATTTTTAATTAGAATCATAATTTATCTATTTTTTCATTTAAAATTTCTTAAATTTTTTAAATAAAAAAATTTAAATTTATAAATTTTAAATATTAAATTTAAGTTTAAATTTAAATTTATAGATTCAAACATTATCCAAATGTAAGGGCAAAAATAAATTTTAATTTAAAAAAATTTTAATATAAATTTAATAATATGATTTATAAATAAGATTAAAAAAAAATTTCATTCCTTGCTTCCGACATTTGATGTTAATGCGTGTAATCAGTTAAATACTTGCATCGAGTCGAATTCACTAACTTGAGTGCTACGTTCTGTGGTTAGTGTCCTCCACTCTGCCAGTTTGGAGTGGCGACTGTAGCAGAAAACACGGCGAAGCATGAGCTGGTTCACTCGCAATCTTACATGGACTTCCAGAAGGACCCAAACCCCAAATCCTCAATCTCAATCAAACCCAAGGGGGAAGACGAGGACCAATTGTATGGGATTACTCAGGATTTGATAAATTACACAAAGTCCTTTGCGATTGATACATTTAAAAATTTTCCTCTCCAAGGTCAGCTTTTTCTTTCTGTCGCTATTCTCTATATGGTATTTAGTTCCTAAATTCGTGAAATTGGAGAGAAATTATGAGAATTGGCCATCTTTAGATTTCCAGTTGAGTAATGATGGATTATGGTTGATTAGGTATACAAGGTTGTCAGTTTTGATAATTTCCACTATTTATGATATATCATGAATGATTAAAATCTCTTTAATCTCCTTGTTGAATATTACTCGCTCGCTTTGCCGGATAGAAAGTAAGGAAAACGTCGGAGATTTATGGGTATCAATTTTCGGCGGCGCGCGCGCGCACACACACACACACACACTGGTTTGGAAAACAAATGAATTGATGCAGCATGCCGTTCTTTTTTTTTTTTTTTTTAATAACCAGCAGTAGTATACCATTCTTTAATCTTTATAAAGAATCCTGTTATGATATTTATCTTTTTCATGTACTGATTGTATGTTTCCAGACGAAGATGAAGCCACTAGTGCTGAAGATATTCGACTGAATTCAGCCAGAATTAGGAAGGATCTCTCTCAGTGGCAGGAGAGACATGCCACCCTCATACTGTCAAGAGTCAAGGTTCGTTTCCGGTTGTTCCTTGGGGTGTCGATTTTTTTTTTTTAAATATTCTCGGTTATGATGCTGAACTGTTAAATATTGAATAATTATGTGCGTATATAGAAATGGTGAGTGGAAAAAAAGGTGGATTTTACTTGCAAATCCTATGTATTGCAAAGTGATATCAAACAGCCTTTTAACTTGTAAATTTCATCCTTGGATGTCTCACTGTTGTGCTTGTTAGCCAAAATGGTTAAGGGTTAAGACTATCTTGAAGTTCTAGTATAAATAGTTTTGAACAGCACTGCTTATGCACTACTTGTCATTTGTTTAAGCTGGCTTTTATATCAATTACACCAGCCATTGATATAATACAAGTATCTTGCTAATGGATGAGCGGCTCACCTTATATTGATCAACTTTTCCCCCTTCTGGTGGATAAGGTCTGTAATTTATGCCAAAATCATTTGTTGATTAACTACGAAGAGCATGAAGCAAGACACATGAAAGAAAGAAGACACGTTAGAAGAAATATATTTGTCTGGTTTCCTTTTAGAGTATTCTTAAACTCACTTTTACATAAAGCCTAACATTAGCGTTACTTTTCAATGGATGCATGTGAATATAACAATGACGTGTAGGAAGGAGAATCAGGGATTTTATTTAAGAGTGTGTTGTAGACGAACATTATGCCTCAGGTTTTTAGATTCTGCTGCAAAAGGCAGCTTGCGCCATAGGCTTTTAGTCTTAACTGTTGACTTAGAGTGCAGAAATTATTTTGGACCCTGATATGATGCCTTCTACCTGTCTGGGAAGCTGAGCAGTAGATAAGGCAAGCTTGTGCCACCGTAATAATCTGGTTTATGGTTTTCTCTTGCTTGTGTTTCTTTGATGTTGTTAAGAAAGACAAAATTAAAAAACAAAAGGTGTTGTTTTTTCCTTCAAATCTGCTGATATATGCTTGGGGTTAAGCTCAATATATGCTTGCTTTGACATTCTTAATAAAAGCACTAACATGTGGATATTCTTTTCTCACCAATCATCGAATCATTGTTGCTGTTTAAAAATAAATAAAAAATTCCCATGTGCCATAATTATTTTGAAAATCTCGCAACAGAACATACAAATATCATCTAAATTTCCTTAATTCCCTTCCAGGAACTCTCTCAAATTAGATATAAACTCTGCCCTGGCCGTTTGAAGGAAAAACAATTCTGGAGCATATACTTTAAGCTTGTGAGGAGCCACATAATCGAGTAAGTTCTGCAAATTCTTGCTTTGTGGTGGATATTTATGTGATAGCATTTAGAGTTTGTTATAACTTGAGTTCTCTAGATGATCAATCGAGTAAAAAACCCAAGGCATCAACATCAATGATATTAGATCTCTTTTGCTGTCAATCAGATACGAGCTACGTGCAATACAACAGGAGAAATTAAGAAGGATGGCAATGGAGGAAGAGAAATCTTTAGATAATGGCGCAGTCGAAGTTGAAATGTCAGAAACAAAGCATGAAGCACTGATGGAGCCTCAACAGTCATAGAAGGAAACCTTGACTTTTTGCTTTCTAGCATGAACATAGTAGGTGAGTGACAAATTTTGTTATGAAATCAATGTTATGAAGAACTGATACTTCAAGTACAAAATATGATACAGCACTTCAAATTACACTTGGACACTAAATATTTTGACATGCCTCATTGTCCATATCATGTTTTGTTCTATATTGTTATCATTATCTATGCTTTTCTGGAGCATACCTTCTGCTCATATTATCCCTTTTCTTTCTCTCTTGACAATGATAATATTCTTATAATTATCGATCATCCGCTTTTATCTATTCTATTCTGTGTGTTAAACTAATCATTAGTATTTATTTTCTGTCAACTTGCAAATTTTTAACCTTGTTTAACACAATGCATAAATTTGCAGATTGGATGTAAAGAATTAAAGAATGTTTGAGATGGCAGATGAAGTGAACTCACTCTGTTTTATCTGTCAGTGACTGTGATTTTAAATTTAGTATGGTTTTCTGTATCCGTGCTTCTCTCATTCTTGCTCCCCAAAAAAAAAAAAAACCAGAACAATTATATTTTGGAATTTTTTTCAATTTGAAATTTCGTGTGTGATTTTTTTAAAAAGAGTGAAGGGTTTTGACTGATTTACCATAAAATTTATCTTTTTTTTTGCCAATAAAAAAAACTAACCTATTAATCTTGCGGCCGTTGATATAACAAAAGGGATCGTTGCTAATTCATTTGGGTTTATTTTAGGTTGTGTGAACTGTGAAGTAAGGATAGAACTTAATGTAAAAGGACGAAAATTCTTTAAAAGAAAAAACAGGAAGAAAAGTCATTGTTAAAAGTTTTGTTAAGAATCAATTAAAATTGACCTGAGTAGTATAGATTCTTGTCATTTACTCCTTGTTTAGTTGAAGTCCCTTCCCCTTGTTTGGATGGGACAAGGAGAGGGAGGCACTCTCCTTTTCTTGTTTGGATCTCCCATCCTGTCCCCTTCAAATTTGGGTGATTTGAAGGGATTCTCTCTCCCCATTCCCTTCTATTAAAATTATTTTTTCCTCTCTCTCCAACCAAACATAACTTTAAATAAATGGTTGAGAGTTTGATTTGAAACTTAATCCTTGTACATGTATAAATTTAGTTAGGAGATGTTTATTTATTGCTATTTTGAAAAGATTTTTCTCTATTAGCAGAACCTACTTTTTATGTTTATGAAAAAAGTTTTGGTATGAATACAATTTTAGTATTATTAAACTAAATTTTATTGGTAATTGCAAAGTAGGTATAGAATTGAACTTAATTGAAAGCAAAAGTTTTCGAGACCTTTCAAATGGCAAATTATCTACCTGTGTAGCAATACTAGGCATCACTTCTAATTTATAAAGCAGAGTTTGTGCGTTCAATCAATGTTCATATATTAGACATTAATGGCTACTTCACATGACATTAAACAAGTTTGAAGTGTGTTGTTAATGATGAATTATGATTAGGTTAAATGAAAGGAGTTTTCTTTAACATTTTTAGCCCAAATCTTATATATAAAAAAAAAAAAATTGATCTTTTAATCTTTCAACTTTTAACTCGTTTATAACTCAGTCATTCAATTATGACACTGTGAATCAATCCCTTAATTAGAACTTGTTGTGATTCAGTCCCTCAACTTTTGATTCACTTATAATTCGATTTTTATTTTTTAATTTTTTTTAAAAAATTTCTTATCAAATAAGAGGATAAAAAAATGCTCATATATTATTTTAAAATACCTTCTCTTACTCATTGATGTGAGATATAAGCTAATATAAAAAAAAATTAACAAAAGTTAAGGGACTAATTTGTAAGTAATTCAAAAGTTGAGGGACTGGAGTCATAAGTGAGTTATAGTTGAGGGACTAATCACAGCGAGTCATAGTTGAGAATTGAGTTACAAGTGATTTAAAAGTTGGAGAACTAAAAAATTAATTTTTTATAAAAAATTAATATTTTAAAAAGTAAAAATATTATTTTAGTTAGTAATACTTAAATTTGATTTGATAATATTTGTTGTTGAGGGAGAGAAGCTTCCAATATATGGTTGGGATTGTATGGTGTCATATAAGATATTGAATATTGATAATTGATAATAAAGATAAAAAGCCTGAATGTCTGTTTTTATTATTATTAAAAATTATCACGTACAATAATCTATGTAAAAACTTATATTTTATAAAAAGTTTATGAAAATATTTTTTAAAATACTTTATTTTTAAAAGTGAGTGAGAATAATTCAGTTTAAAAAAGTTGTAATATTCACAAAATGAGCTTAAAAGATATGATCACTGTTTGTTTATATTTTTAAAAATTATAATTTGATATTCAAATTATGTTTTGCAAATTTATTATATTTCAAGATAATGAGATTTTAAAAAATAATTTATAATTTAAGAAAATTAAATTAAATAATCATTTTAGAAAAATATCTTAAATTTCTGTTTGTAGAAGAAATTATTCATTTTTTATTTGAGGAAAAAATGTTAACCCTAAACCAAAAACTGATGCTCCTCTTCATTGTTCACTTGCCATGTCCATCCTCTCTTTTGTTTATGTACGTCACAGCTCTGTCCAACCCCTGAGTTAAAATCTTATCTTTACATGTTAATTTTTTTTCCTTTAATAAAATTCTTTCTTAATAATATATAAATTCATAAATATGAACCATCCCTGTCCTATTAAAATGAGAGAGGAGTTTAAATAGTGGTTGAGATTTACACATTTTATTATTTATACTAAATATATAATTTTTATAAAATGTCGCAACTGATGGTTTTGTAATTTTTTTTTGGGCAAACAAGTGGTTTTTTTTTTGTGAGTGACAAGTAATCTTTTAAATTTATAGACATTGGTATTATCATTCTTTTTATTTTTATCTTTAATTTAATTTAATTTAATTTTTCAGGTTAATATAAATTTTAATTTAATATAAAATTGATTTGATATAATTTAATAATGAGTCTGAGAAAATTAGAAAAAGTCAGAATGAAAAAAAAAAGTATTTTTAGTATATCCAAGAGTTTAATAAAAATGCTGGTAAAAATCTTATTTGATATAGAAAGGTAATTATAATTTTACATGTAAAGATTAAGTTTCAAATTAATTTTGGACCTATACCAAATTCTTCCGAAAATTAATTATAAACCCCGATAAAACCCTTCTCGCGCGTACCGGATCAGTTCTCTTCGTCGACGAACAAGCATCCCATACTCCGTTGGACAGTGGACACCGTCCACCGTTGTCAGCCCTGCGTGGTTGTTCTCGGGCAATCAGTGAAGTGAACCTTGGGCTTTTTCTACTCCAAAATCCGGTGAGACTGATTTGTTCAATCTGGTTTTGAATCTAGATTTGAATTTGTTCCCCGCGTCATCTGTTCCCTGCGTGGCTGTTCTTGCTTTGTTTTAAATTTTCCATTTTAATTTGGCTTTGAATCTAGTTGTGCATTCGTTGAATATTGACGCCTTTGAATTTGGGAGTATTTACATATTGAGTTTACTTTTTTGTACTAGTTTTTGCTTGAACGGCGTGTAATTGGCTATATACTTCTTCCCTCTTCATTCGGATTACTAGCAGCTTGTATGATTTGAATATTATTGTTCTGCAATGTTTGGATTTTTTGTGTATTGGCATTCTGTTTATTAATCTTTTTATATTATCGTCAATTTTGGAAATTCCCAAGGTATTTGTAATGTATGATCTTGTAAATGACTTTGCTCGAGTTCTGTCAAAGTATCTGGAACAAAAATTAAAAGGGTATTATATCAATTATGCATATTTCTGAGATTTCAGAGTAGCTCCGCCTATGGGTGGGGAGTTCTATCTTCGCAATAAAACTTAGCTCGGAAAATTTGTTAACTTTCTTGTTAATAATTTGGAAAGTTATAAAAGCCAGTTGCCTTCTTTCATCACTTGTTTTCTCAGAAAGACTCGATCTTTCTTTAGATGTTTTTTGAACGAGAATTGGGTTTACTGGGACTTCTTTTTTAATTTTTTAAGGCAACCTTAGGATTTCCTTTGTCATTGCAATGTTGGAGGAGGTCAGGACCAGAATTTATTTTTGTTTTATTAATCTATATGCTTGTCATTACATAACCATTTGACTAATCTCACAGTTGCTGTGATGGCATGGGCAGCCTGCTCATCTTTTGCCTATTTGTTAACTACTCATTTAGTGATTGACTCATCCCATCTTACTATTCATCATGTATATGCTTTGAAAAATGGAAAAACACTTTAGATTTTGCTCTACAACACAAGCCAGCAGAAAGTGAAATTGCACTGATTTGAATGAAAGGCACATTACTGATGTATGCCTTTATATACATAATTTTGGCCTAATTTTTTTGGGTCTTCCACGTGCTGGTAATTTGTGTTTGATTAGCTAAAGGCAATTGAAAATGGAAGCTAATGTTGATGATCAATGACATGATGCTAAATCGAAAGGGGAGAAGGACGACCCTGTTCTACTACCAAATAGAGAGTGAAAGACAACTGGAAAAGAGGCAGTCAACAATATGGTGAAGTAGAAGTGAGAGAGAGTGTTCAAATATCGGATGTGACTTATTCATGATGACTTGGAGTTCTTTGATGGTATTGACTATTTTTATGATGAAGAAAATAAAAAAGAAGGGAATGATTATATGGATTGTAATAGTATCCCTGGAGATGGGAAAACACCAATAGTTTGTATAAACTTCATATTCTATTTTGTTGGTGTTTGATAAAGACTACTTCTATGGTATTGGAATATCGTATAAGTTACAAAATTGTTGAATCCGGTGCTTAGGCTTAACTTTTAATGCTCATCTATCAATGGTTGTATGCATAGATGGATTTAATGAAGAAAACTTCATTTAGTTTGTAGAAGTGATGGCTTTAGCTTCATTGCCTAGAATATCAAATGCTTTCGATAGAAATCTCAGTTTGGACAATCTTACTTTTTACAATCTATACATTATAATAGAGCAAGAGTATTTGTATTTTATGCTCTTCCAATATCATAATACGTAAAGATATACTTATTTCCCACTCACATATACACAAATGTGCATATTCTTATTTTCGTCGTAGTAGCAAGTCTCATGTACGCAACTGTATTTTAGATGTATTTTTTCTGCATACTATGATATTTATAGCTTTAGTTCAAATTGTCCATTTGCATGCATGTACGTACTTTTAGTGATGCCTCTGTATGTGGCTGTTAGAGTAGCTGTTTAATTTGCTTTTAAATAGTAGGATGCTTGAAATGGTGATTGCTTATTCAATTATCTTACATAATCAATGACAGAACATCATTGAAAGAGGGACATGGCAACAAAACCAGTAGATAGTAATCAGCAAGCAACAAATTCCACGCCTGTCCAGAAAACTGATGAGGACCGAATCACTGCAAGCCCTTCTGCTGCTGGTATGATAGAAACTTTAGAAAATCAGTATCACAAAATTAAAGAGCACGCAGAAACTTATCCTTATGTGTGGGCTTCCTATATTGTTGTCTATGGTGGCTTTGGCCTCTGGACTGCCTATCGATGGAGGAAGCTTCGCAAAACTGAGGACAGAGTTCGAGGTCTTCAGGCAAGGCTTAAGCAGCTTGTTGAAGCTGAAGAATCTTCTGCTACTTCTACCATGGCCGAGAAGGCTCCATCCTCTTCTGAAAAGCCTGCAAAGTAGCCTGCAATATCACCCAAGAACAGTTTAGTTAACTGCCAACTACGTTACATTTCCATGATCTGTGGATGCCTCATGAAAGATTTTTTTCTTGTTCTTGGCTAACTCCAGTAACCAAGTCTGTTGAAGCAGCTATGACTACACTAGAAGATCTGAATTTACAATAATACCTCAAATTGTTATTTAGCCTTCTGGTGACAATTTTTTGGCACAATTATTTGTAGCATCTCACCATGTGCCGTCTTTGGTTCAGGAGAATTTTTGTGGAGAGGCGCGCGCTTGCTGTGATAGCATATTCCAAATGTGAACTTGTATGTTGCATGGTTTTTGCCATATGACCTAAATTTAGTTCATTGAGAAGCTCATCAGTTCAGATTCAGTTGGGTTTATCAGGGACTCACGGAGCCTTTTTGCACACTCGGGTTCAGATTTGTGTACAATCATGAGGCATTTTTTGGTAAACAGTCATCAAGCATGTTGATTAATTGCTGTTGCAATATCCCTGTGATTTGGCAAAGAATAGTGACACTTGTCTACGACGTTTGACCCCTGAATCTTCGCAAGAATATAAAACTCCAGTCCCTACCATTCGTGACGGAATGTGCAGAAATTTTATTGAAATGACTTGAAGGATATCATTTGTCATATTTGTCCCCCCCCCCCTTTTTATCCATATTCAGTTAAGTGCTTGTTTGATTTTTCACTGATCAAAAATCAATTTATTAAAAGTTTATTTAATAAAAATTAATTTCAGAAAAATTAATTGTTAGAATGAGATTTATGTCTAGATATATTTTTTTAAATTCAGTTTAATGAATTGAGAACTGTTTAGATTATGTATAATAAAAGTGTTTTAAATGTAATATTACCAAAAAGGATATTAATTTTTATTACACAAATATATTAGAAATGGTTGAAAAATATGTGATAAAAATTGTAAATAACAAAATTTGATGCTCTTTAATAAAAGTATAAAATTTAAAGTTTGATTTATTGGACAAATTATAAGTAGTTGAATATATTAACAGTTTAATACTAAAAATTAATATGATCAACTATTCAGTTTATAATATAAAATTCAATTTTCAATTGAGCCATAAAAACTATATTTAAATGTGCTTTGATGATGTAAGTTTCAAAAGTAAGAAAAATCTTACATTGGCTGAAATGACATTTAACAACACGTGGACTTGACTTTTAAATGGACTTGAGAGAAATTGAAATTTCATTTTAAGTTCTTTTTGAAATCCTAACTGAAAACCAAATAAGCCCTAAGATAATTTAAGAACAATAAAAATATCAATCGTTGAACTTTTCTGCAAGTGAGACAAGATTCCAAGGCCGATGCTAGATTTCCAGGTTGAAGACACTATTTGGATTAGCATTTATAAAACTTTGGCTGGAATTGATTTTACGCAAATGACATTGGTTGGAATTGAGTTTCATGTAATTATGACACGTGTTGGGATAGTTTTACTTAAGAAGTGATTTTGACAAACTGAAAGATGTTTGCACATCAAGATGATGTTAGATTGGTAGTAAAAGACTCTTGACTATGCAGTTACTGAAGGAAAAAAAAAAGTATTATGGAGTAATATTATTAATATTAATTAATATATGTTGATCTTGGTGAAAGGAATTACAGACACTTAAATACAAGATCTTGAGTCTAAGTTAGTACCAATGCACTATAAATTATAATTTGCAGTATAGTGTCAAATAAAAGAGCGTGTCAGATATTAAAAAAAATAAGAAATTGAATCATAATTAATTAATTAGAAAGACAGTCATTTTTGTGCATTTCAGACCGGCGATAGTGTGATGGTCCAGATTTGAAAGCCCAATGATAGATTTCCAGGTTGAAGCCACAAGAAGATTGCAAGTCTTCACACTGAATTCTCTACTTCACAAGGTTTATCCTTACCTCTAAGCCCTAATTATGAACAAACAAGTAAAGAAATTACATTAACTACAAAAGCCTACCATCTACAGAAAAACCCCTACACATTCCAAGTCCCAAAAGCCATCAGATCAGATCCTTCCCTTTTCCTTGATAAGGCTTCCTTCAATTATCTTGTCGGTTAGCATTTTCAAATTCCTCCGGCTATGCAATTACATGTAATCCTACATGTTGCTAAGTTGCATCTTCTAAGCTCAGCTTGAAATCCAGAGATGGGAAAATTACATCAAAGACCACGCAGATTTTGTAAATTCTAAGCCAAAAGGTTATGAAAGCTATAATTATTTTTAGATAAAACCAAAATATTATCAAAATTTAAGAAAGTTACCATTAAATATTATGTACATGATAATTTTGATTGACTTTTATCAGTAACTTTCCCAAAATTTAATAATAATTTTAGCTTTCAATAATAATTATAGTTTTTAAGATTATTTAATCTAAAACGTACAAAATCCCATTTCTTAGCGCAATTTTCCCATCAGACAAGCCCCAATAAGCTTGGCCTAGTGAAGCACTTGGACCCACTCAAACCGACCTGGGAGAGGCACATCATTCACAATGTCAAAGTTATACCTGCAAAATAGAACCCACATTACATATTTACACAAGGCACCATTTGAAAAGGGGGAAACAGTATAACTAGTACATTAAGTTTATTCCATAAGAAAAACACTTGTTTTTGTCAAAACACTTTTTTTATTTGTAAATAATGTAATTGAGGTTTTGAAGTTACATTTGAAAAGATAAAATGCATTTCTCTCAAAAATAAAAAAGGGAAAAGGTAGTGATAAAAAGACAGAATACTTCTCCATAAAGATTGTATGTTGCTGCTTCTCTGCAAAAGCAAAGAACTCCTCCATCTCGTAAGCCGTTGGAATATCCCTTTGCACGTGTTCACATATAATCTGTTTTGTGGTTGACGCGAGGTTGCTCATAGTAGCAGAGTCCCTTGTTAAACTACAAGGCGAGCTATCCCCTGTACTCCTGCTTAACCACCAAGAAAAATAGCCAAAAATCAATACCTTGTAGGCTTATACCCAAAAAGAGTTCAGTCAAAATAGTAAGATAAAAAAAAAATGAAGTGCTTCCAACAACTTTTAATGTTGGAAGTTGCTCGGCCTTTCGCTTTCAATCCATCTCTTCCTTATTGTTATGTGCTATTTCTTTTCTTTGTTAAATATGGGGATTTAATAAACTAGTCAAATATGACTTGCTTATAAATGAAACTACTGGCCATAGGAACCCAAAAGTTTCAGAGAAATATGTATGATGCTAGCTGACAGCATAACATGTCACTTGATGTTGATGAAAATTGAAAAGGGCACACCTTTCCCCTACAAAATCTGATCAAGTTGAAACTAAAGACAAGTAGCTATTCTAAAAAAGTAGCTGGCATTTAATGGGACAGGGTCTGACACAGTGGGCTCATAATATTAGGAAAAGAGATACAGAGCAAGAGACGGCCAAAATCTTTTTCATTCATTACAAACAACAAGGACAATCAAAGTGAAAAACATGATGGAATCATACCAGGAAGTCAGAAACAATTACCAAGATTTCTTTGAGTAAATTATTGTTTTCAGTATTTGGAAAATGAGTAAAAATAATATTTTTCATTTGGTTGTTCCTTGCAAACAAAAGTCTCCTAATTTAAACCTTCAAACGTAAGGTTATAGAGATAATTGTGATGCAGTTAAGGGGTCCATCTCACAGGTTCCATTCCTTTGGAAAAGATCAAACTTTTTATAAATGCGGGAAGATGCAACTAGCGGCAATAAATTACCCTACTGAGGACTGGGTCTTGTTGCAGAACCTCTCACAGGTCACAAACGCTAAAATTTGACCAACCCTTGTGACAACTGACAACTGTCCCTTTCCTTCGTGCTGAGGTTACAAAGATTTTAGAATCCAATAATCAAATGAAAGTGAAATAACATAAAACAAAATTTCACGGATTGAGACCACACATCACACACACAAAGGGTCACGGTAAGCATTCGTGCAAGAAAAATAACTACACAATATTAATATCTAAGAATTCCTTTTTCCCCTTTATTTATTTGGTTGTTTTCCCTTTAGTTTTTCAAGAAAACCCTAATTAATTAATGGCCAAAAAAACTACACAAATGAAAAAGGGTGGAAAGAGTTACATAATATATACAAAAAATAACAAAATAAATCCAGAAATACTTCACCTACACAAAGTCATGAAGGAGTATGCTTCAAAGATCGCACCCAACATTAATAAAAAAAAAAAATTGGAGAAAAAACCACCAGATAAACCACTAGAAGAACACTTGGGATAATGACATTTCAAAGGCGAATCGAAGAGGCATATACCTATCTCTGTCTTCAACCTCCGAGATATTTTCTCCGAACGAACTCTCAATACACATATCAACATTTTCTTCATCATCGCTTGCCTTTGCAAATTCCCCTAGAAAATGCCCCTCCTCATTAATCAACGACACTGATTTCACCGAACTTTCTCGCACCGTCGAATTCGCAATCATGCCACGACAATTACAGTTAGGACTTTCTCTGCAACAGCTCCCGTGAGACTTGGGTAGTGACGACGATGGCTTCTTGTTGCCGACGAAGACCTTCCGGAGGCGTCGGCTTCGGAGTTGGAGGTAGGAAAAGGAAGAATCATCAGCATCCAGAGGTGAGGAAGGCGAAGTCGTCGAAGACGAAGGCAACTTGCAATGGGTTTGTAACGCAAGGGTTTTGGCTCTGGTACGAACGCCTATTGAGGACTGAGTCGGAACCTTCATGACTGCAACATCACCTGCGATTTTCGATTTCTTCATCTACTTGCCCGGGGTGAATTTCTTAAGAGCGAAGAGTTTCATGCAAGAGAGTGAGAAGAACGATGCGAAACTGCAATGAAATGAACTTGGAGAGTGACTGAGTGCTGGCACAGAGAGAGAGAGAGTCTGAGAAAAGGTAGGGCATGGGAAGAAGGTAACTTAGGGTTGGGGGTCATAAGAGGGGACAGGACCATATAAATAGACAAATATTTTTTAATAAAACTGTAAATATAAAAAATTAATTTTTTTAGGTGAAAAAATATAAATACACAAATTTAATTACAAGTAGACACATCGGCATATTCTCTTACTTTTGTTTTTAGTTTTTGAGGAAAAGACATTTTTTTTTAAGTAAGTATTCCACACATAATTTAAAAGTATCAAGAATAAATAAGGGAAAGTACAAGATATGTTTGACAATTTATTTTAAAAACAGTTTTTTATTTTTTAAAATAAAAAAATAAATTTTTTTAATAATATATTTTTAAAAAGTATTTTAGAGAATAAAAAATAAAATATTATTTTAAAGAATAAAAAAATAAAAATAAATTTTAGGTATTCTAGGATTATTATTCTTAAGAATAAGAAAAAATAAAAAAATACTTATTTTTATTATTTTTTATCTTCATAACATGTTTTATAAAATATTAGTTTTTAAAACAATAAAATAAAAACAATTTCAAACAGCCTCATAATCTTTGATTCCTATAATTTTATTAAATTTTAATTTTAGTCTCTATAGTTTTTTTAGTGTTTTCAATCCTTATATAAGGATTGAAAACAAAAAATTATAGGAACCTGAAAAATAAAGATCACTTAATTTTTTTGAAACTATAAAGATTGAAAATACTAAAAAAATTTATAGAGACTAGAAATAAAATCTGATGAAATTATAAAAATTAATGATTGCTTTTTTCTAAATAAATAATAATTTTTTTCCTAACTACGTTGTTAGTGTTACCCTATAAGGTTTGACATTAGAATCTCCAATTACTTCCTTATGTGACTCTTTGAAATATTTTGTATTGCACAGAATTTAGAATCTAAGGTAAGTAATAACAATATCATGTGGGAAAAATCACATACAAGTTCAAGAAAGATATTTTTTTTATCTTTCGTCAAGAAAGAGATTTACTTACAAATAAATCTCTTGTAATTGACTAACTAAAATTAGTGTGAGTAAAATATGTTCTTGTTACTTAAATATATGATTGGAAGTTCAAACCCTAACATTTGTATATAGAAATTTAGTTGAAAGAAGTATTACTCAATAGTACCTTAAGGGAGATCGCTTTCTCCTTATGCTTATTTTAAAAAAAAAATCCCTTCTAATTGACTTATTTTTTTAAGGTTGCAAGGGATTTGAATTTGAGATAATTTAAAAAAAAAAATTGTGTGGAATAACTTCAATGCTTACTTACATTTTGATCTTCTTCTTCTTCCTTGGTTTTTCACGCTCCCTTCATTGAAGATTGTTCATTAACTTGGTTTTTCATTGTGTGGAATATTCAAAATACTGCCGAATATTAAATATAAACATATTTTTTAATAAAATTTTAAACATTGTTTATTATGTTATGTTCTTTTTCTGCTAAACTCAACCTCATTTTTAACTTTCTTCTTTTGATTAGTTGGTTATATTATCATTAGATCAAGATTGGCTTGCCACTAACCGAGTTAGGACTCAAGATAGCCAATAAAGCCATCATTTAAGTCAGCAAGCAGGTAATCTCTTATTAAATTAATATTAATGTATTATTTTTTTATTTTAAATAGTAGTATTTTAATAATTAAAAATATTATTCATATAGTCATCTTAGTTTTTTAAAATTTTTATCATTTTTTGCAACTAATTTAATTTAATGAAATTTTTCCATCATTTCTTTGTTATTTTCACCTCATAAATAAAGTGATATCTCTCTTTTTAACCTCGTATAGGATGATTTGCATGTCTCCAGCAAAAAGTTAGACTATGTATTTACCGTCCATTCGTTGTTTTTTCCCATGACTGAAATATGTTAATAATTATTTAAACATTTGGATACTTAGCTGTAACTGTCCCAAATTAAATTCAAGTTCTATTATAATTAACAAAATCAAATATTTTATAATTTTTATGAGTATAAACATGATGGTCCATGTCAACTCACCCACAGGCCATATGAATGAGAGCCGTTGCTCAGCCTCAGCGCCATGTCAATGTCATGAGAACATATTGGAATTTGGAAGCTGAAATTATAGTATGGGTATCTAAATGTTGAAGAAGCTAAGCTGGCCAACACAGATTTTTTGTTTTTTGGCTTTTTTTGGGGGCCTTCTTTTCAAGAGCTTTGCATAAACATCACTGGGCAATGGAAGAGATTTACCATTTTTGCTCTGCCACATCGGATTCCAAGATTCAGCCCCTTTTGTTTTTCTTCTGTCATTTTGCATCCAGGCTCTGCCCTGGTCTGCCTCAAGTTGCGTTCTGATTTGACACTGCACGTTAGGCTATCTCACGGCCTTCTTTTCAAAAAAAAAATAATAATAATCAGTGCCTAAAACTAACAAAACCTTAACAGAAATCCAAATTAATGTGGACTGAGTTAAGATAAGATCCTTTTAAATAGAGACTCTATCACTAATATTATTGTTTTTCTCGAACTCGAACTCAAAACTTTTAAGTAAGTTGGTATAACCTCTTTTATTGGTTGAATCTCAAGGCCTATCTTGATTATTCTTTAATGTAACTTTCCTCCTTGACCATAATGTATGGAGTACGATCTTGCAACGCAGAAAGACTTTCAGAAAATGAACTTTAATTTTATACTACTGCTGCCATTGCTGCTGTTACTTTTTCAAATTTTACAAAACAAACATATGCATATCAGAGTAGCTTTCATGGAACTTCAATTCAGTTTGGCAAATATCCAGTTCACAAAATTTAAATAAAACACACACTTTATGTGCATATTCTCTCACAAACAATACTATAAAAAACTTATAAATGTTATGAATATAAAAAGTTGGGGATGTCTATCTCCCTTTTACTACTACAAATTTATCAAGTAACGCTCATTATCTCACTATTCATAGGCTTTATTTCTCATTACTCTACATTTAACATGGATGATACATTCAATATGTAAGATTATACTCATAAAGATGACATCTTATCTATATTGAGATAAGTAGGGCTATACAAAAGCTTCCCAATCCTATCTAACTTGAATAAGCTTAGTCCAGTTAGATCTGAGGAGTAAAAAGACCAAAAAAACTAGACTCTATCTTTGAGTTAGATTGAACAGGAAACCAAGATGTCAGACCACTTGATTCGATCTAGTACTATAAATTAATTTTAATGTAATTATAATTATAATTATTTTTAATATAGGTTGAACTTTGAAGTCTCTAAAAGCAGCGTTTTGTCCTCATTTTTAGTTTTTTACTTTTCAATTTCAATGAACCAGCTCTAGCCTAAACTGTGAAAATCTTCACTCCCTCTCTCCATCTTCACTCCATATCTTCATCTTCACCAAGTGAACCAGCCTTAGCCTGAACTTTGAAATACTTTTTATTTTTGTTGGAGATTGTTCTGGATTTGTTATGATTTGCTTTTAATATTTTGTGATAAATTTTACATGATTATAAGTATTTTTATTATATTAATTGAGTTCATAATGTTGAATTGAATTCTTGCATTTCATAGAGGAAAAAAGGGGGGAAAAAACAAAGCAAGGTACTAAACTATTGAGACTAGTCTCTCAATTTTATGGATTAAATTCATTCTATTTAACTTCAAGTTAAGCCTATATCAGACTAGATTATAAATTACCGAACCTAGTTCTTTCCGTAAAAATGACCATAATTCTTGTTAAGTTGAAATTCTATTGTATTAGTCTTTTATGCAGCTCTTTGTATAAGAAAGTTATTCTCTTTCTCTTGTCTCCATTATCTCTTCTCCATACATTTTTTCTTTATTTTATAACAATAAAAATAAAAGCTAAAAAACTACTTAATTTTGATGATGTTTGTGAGAGGATGAGGAGTGTTACAGGGAAAGGTTGTAGAATTGCTTTGATCACTATTTGACGCTGCATAAATTTGGAAATCGTTAGATTCAGTAAAATATGAAACATAACCCGCTTTGCCTCAAAAATTGTAAAATCATTTTCCCAACACATGTTCAAACATGAAAAAATTAATCCTTTAGTCTTTTAATTTTGAATTCACTTGTAACTCAGTTCCTCAACTATAACTCGTTGTAATTCAGTTCTTCAGCTTTTGACTCGCTTATGCCTTAATCCTTTAACTTTTCACTCGTCTATGAATTAGTCTCTCAACTTTTGTTTGTTCTTTTTTTTTATATGTTCACTTAGATCACATATCAAAATACAAAAGGAGGATATTTTAGAGTAAATATGAGCATTTCTTTTATCCCTCTTCTTTGATAAGGATAATTAAGAAAATAAAAAATAAGGATCAAGTTATAAACAAATCAAAAGTTTAAGAGACTGAATCATAATGAGTTATAGTTGAAGGATTAAGTCGCAACAAGTCATAATTAAAAGATTGAATCATAACATGTCATAGTTGAAAGATTAAGTTAAAAATAAATTAAATATTAAAAGACTAAAAGATTAATTTTCTCTCCAAACATGATAGTAGATGGAAGGGGTGAATTAGAGAGTAAAGACATGTCAAAGTGTAATGAAAAAGGAAAATGTTTCAGCCGGAAATTCGAATGCCTACCTTGCACCTTGTCCGAGCTTACAAGAAGTTCAGACCAAGGAAACCGTTTTGTTAACTGCGTTAATTAAGATTCTGTAAAAGAAAATTCTCGATGCGTGACTAGACAATAACCCCCTACCACATAAATAAAAAAAAAAAAAAACTAATACTTGTAAAGATTGGCTTGCTTACCATTTGCATAATTCGAAGTCAAGAATCTATTTGCATGCAGTAACCTCCTGTTCATTTCTTTTCTTTTTTTAAAATAAAAAGGAAAAAGAGAAAAACAGATTCTATAAAACCCCATAAAACATAGATATGACTAAATGACTTCGGGGAATTCAAGTTCAATTTGATTATGTCATCGTCACATTGTTATGGCAATCACAAGGTAAACATCCGCCACCTTAGTTTCACTTGGAGGCAAGCTGCAGTTATAGAATCCAAAGATAGCAAAATAGAGCTGCCCATAGAACAATAGTATTAATTAAATAAACCAACCAAGATAGCATTTTCGTCTCATAATTATTCAACATTATTTGCCTCTTGAGCAAACCCAAAAGCAAAGCAGAAAATCTCCAAACATTCTCGCCATATACAACCATATTGGACACTAATGTTCACCATCAATCAAGGCCAAAGTAAACAAAGTTGTCTGCATACTTTGGATCCTGACGTTTCTAAAGAAACTCTATGTGTGTAAATTTTGAAGAGAGAAACACATAACAGACTTGGGATTCCCACTTCAGAAATAAGAACCCCTAATCAAGCCTCCTTCGTTTCGTGTCCCTCTGAAATTCAATGTGTAAATCTTCTTGAAACTCTAGAGGATCCCTATTAATGCTTGATGGATTGGTCACCAAATCTACCACAAACTGCAGGGCAGGTTCAGCCGGAATCTCGAGTGCCAACAAGCCTGTGAAAGGAAGCAAGCTATCACACAGGTGACAGTTCATGCAGATATGACTCCTTTTTTTTTTTTTGGCAGAATGCCATGAAGCAAAATAATAACAATTAAAAACCTTCAAAATATTTAAAACAAAAATCTCTAGAACCATTTGAATAGCCACCTTAAGTCATCACTGATATTTCCTAAAATTAAAACCTGATCTTTTCAATCTTACAAGAATGTTTAAAATTGTCACTGCCATTAAAAGTGAATGTAAACACTCTTGTAACATGCATAAGATCAAGTTGTAACTAATGATAACTTATTTTTATGGTTCTTGAGAGTAATTCTGATTTTTATGGTCCTTATCTGTGATCAATTTTACTCATGGTTCCTATATCGTCATTTTCCAAATAAACTATTGACTGATTCCCAACCAAAATTGCAGCAGATGAACTTGGGACTTCTGTGAACTCAACTCTTCAATTGGTGCCTTCAGAGTCATTCTGGGTATGTTCTCCATCACTATCAACATCCAAATTGGGATCTTCAGGTCTAAACTCTATGCTTTCCAGAGGCAAATAGTCAATAGAGCCATCTCCTGACTGACCAGCAACCAGCGTCACTATGTTACGGATAAGATTACTTTGTTTCAGCTCAAACTCATGGTCCGGAGTGTGCTGCTGATTGAACCGACCAGGAATCTTGCTGCGAATTTTGTAACAATCACCACAAAGATCAAAACCAACCTTCTCCTTACAGTCTTTGCATCTGTATCTATCCCCAACAATTGGAAACATCTGAACATACAAGCCATGCGTTACCACACTAGAAAACTAGAAGTATCAAAGAAACCGTCTGCAACTTTGACAAGGAAAATAAATAAATAAAGGGAATCAGGGAGGGGGTTATTTTGATTTCTGATGTCTTAATTTTGTTTCTCCTGCATGGTTTCTTGCCATGGCCTTTGTATTACAAAAAAAAAAATAAAAAAATCAAATCTCATCTTTCAACTTGGAATCTCTGAGTAATTAGGTTAGCTAGGCAGCCAAAGATAGAATAAGTATAAATTATAGCTAAATATTTTGCAAAAGAACAGAGCAGTCCAAGGAAAGATAATATCATAGCCTCAGTTATATGAAAATCTAGCTTTAACTTTTCCAAAACCACAAATTAAAACCCTATAAGTCATATTTTAATAACCAAGATAAAAGCCGCCTGTGGGCAGCCCAATGATCAAGGTCCAATTTGTAATGTACCCCAAAAAGAAAAAAGATTATATTGAAATCTATTATGAGATAAATGTCACCAAAATTTAATAGCACGCCACTGAATGATTATTAAAAGGGACTAAATTAAAAATTTTAAAACTATGAGGAATTATTACAAATTTTTAAACTATAGCTAGAATTAAGAGAACTTACAGGGCAGAGGTATTATTCAACCCATACTTTTTTATAGAAGAATCCACAAAGAGAACGAATCAACATGCACAATGAGAGGATAGCAAATCCTCCTACCGCAACAAAAAAGCAAATAAATTGGGAAAATAGAATATCAAATCAAAAGAGCTCTCTAACGCCCTACAAATCTGTAATGCAAATCCCGAATGGATGCCAAGAGTACAGCTTTAATTCAAAAAAGAGGGGAGAAAACGAACTGCTCAATGAAAAGTCTAGCCTCTGACTTCATTCGTACACAATCAATTCTAGCAGTAGTCCTCATCAGTCATAACAGCAGGAACTAAACAAATTACAACTACATGGTTGCAGCTGGAACAGGGTATAGTATAAAAGACCACCAACATGCTGGGTCAATAAAATAGGGTTTCTGCTAGTAATAATGTTTAACACTCATTTCCATGCACAAAGCCCCAAATATAAATAAACATTAAGGAAAACGAATACAAAAAAGAATTCAAGGAAGCAAAGATCAGAGATTTTACCCCACAAAAATCACAACCAACTGCAACATGTACTTTTGGTTGAGGATCAGACCACCATGCCGCTTTTCCTCCTTTTCCCTTATTCAATGAACCTGAAAGCAGAAGCTAAAGTAAGATGGAATAATAGTATTAATTAAAACACTAATGCAAATCAAACTTCAAATGTGGAAGAAAGGAAAAAATATGGGAGAATATCAATGAAGGACTTGGGAAATAATTTAATATCAGAAAAGATTTCTAACAAGTAAACAATAACAATTAACAAGTGAGGTTCAACTTTTAACAAGTACCTAATCTGTCCAAGTCCTTGTCTGCTATTAAATGATTTATGCAGTCCTTCATTGATATTCTCCCAAAAAATATTAGAGGGTAAATTATTAAAGATGGGAAAAGGAAGAGAAATTCTCCAAACACTAAAATAAAAGGCAGTCAACACAGACACACACACACACACACACACACACACACAGAGCATAGCACCAGAGAAAGCCATAAATACAACATTATTTAAGTGACAGAGACTAGGACACCCCCAAAGATGTAAATCATGTCATACGAACCACATATACCAAATAGCCACAAAAGCACACATTGCCACAAAATTTTGGCCTCTTTATTCAAACGAAGACCTTTGAAACTTATCATGAGAAAAAACTCCAAGGCGAAGGACATCGGTAAGGAGAGTGGAACGGATAATCTTAAACCTTATTAAAAAAGGTAGAGAAAAACCAAAGAGAGCACTTATGGAAGTTATTAAATGAAATCTTAGATAAAAATATTTCTAAAAGATTGGTTGATGATAAAGCACAATGGTATTATGCAATCTATGTAGCTAATCCCACCTAATGGAATAAGACTTGCTGTTATTGTTGAAGGGCACCAAATGTTCACCAAGAAATCCAAACAAATTAATCCAAGGAAAGCAGAGGAACCCCAGTAAAATAGGGTACTTCTATCCAACTTAAGCTCACAAATAATGAAAATTAGGAGGATAAGCCACCTGGGGCAACTCTACAACCAGCTATGTGTACTTGTTTTATTAACTACCAATGTCCAGGTAAAAGAACTAACCAGAGAAGAATGTATAGATTTCTGTATAGACTTGTCTAGCATGAACCCCTACGCCCTGCCCATTTGAAAAATGATAGCAATAGAGGACTAAGAGGATTGAACAAGAATAGAAAAATCCAAATTGGAGTGAAAATAATAATAATAATCGAATCAACACAACATTCCATGAATCAAGTTCTTGAAAAAAAAAAAATTACAGGAGACTGGAACTCTGACCAGGATAAAAATTTTGAGTGGGTGGGTATATTCTTGAAGGACAGGGCTTTAAAGGCATAAAAAAATAAAAAAAAGAATATTCCACACGCAAAAAAACTGACAAAACTGAATGTGAGAATCATCATCAATACTGAAATAATTAATGATTTAAAAGAACCATATCCCTCAAGGATAAACATGGAAGGATTAGCATGAGTAGCAATTCTAAGCAGGCTAAAACACATTAGGACATTAGGTATCAACCAGAAGTTTGAGACAATAAAATTTAAAAGAGGAAAATTAATGATATGAAATAAAAGGGGTGGGGGAGTAGAAAGGAGGTTGGAGGTTGAAATACTCTCTGGTTATGGCCTGCATCAGAACTTATACAAGATAAGAGGAGAAAACAACTGGAAGAGTCCATGCATCTTCCTAAATCATAGCAGTAAATGATTTCCAAATCATAACACTCAATTCCGCTTATCAAAACAACTTTTGCTTTCTATTCTTTATATATTTGGCAAGTAGCAATCAGCAATAACAGATGTCAACTTAGTTTATGAAATAAGGAAGCTAAGGATAATTTGGGCAGACCTCAGATGATATCTGCATAATTTACCCTATATTTTATGCATGTGCTACTTCTTATGATTTATTCCGAAGGATCAATTATCCTAGAGATTTTTAGAGGAAAGTCGATTTCCTTATGATCTCACTCAACATTGTATGACCAAAATATACTAAAGCCAGTAGGCAAAGATACATACAAGAAGGGATCTCAGGTTTGCCATAGATATGCCTAAGTTGAACAGCATCTCTTTGCTTTGCATATTCCTCCGGAAATTGTTCCTTTATAAAGTGATCAAGCTCCAAACAAACGTTTGGAAATCCCCTTGGATGTGAAAGTTGACAAATTTGGCATCTAAGCATCTCATCAGCTGAGTTCTCGATACAAGACTCACAGTATACTGTAGAAATGAAGGGAAAGAAGAGAGGTTATATACCAACTACCCAGATTTTCCATTAATGATCTCAATAGTTTAGAAAAGAGAGGTAAATATTGTGCATAAATACCATGACCACAGTTAAGAACAACTGGACAAAAAAGCAGTTGCTTGCATGCTGAACACATGACATCTTCAACCAATATCTTCTGCTGCCTATCATTCCGAGGCAGAAGTTTTACTTGAGCAGGAGTCCCAAAAGCTTCAGGTGTTCCACCAAAAATATCTTTAGAGATGGTGCCCTTATGTTGCTCTTGAGTTTCAGACCCTGATTGCTCCATCCTTGCAGAAAGTCCTGCATTCTGTGGGTTGGAACCCAGATTTCCAGCATAGCAGGAAGATGAAGTACCTGGATGGTCAAACTTAACTTCTGATACAAGATTATCATCATCAAATTGAGGAGAGTAGCAGCCCCGTTTCTTTTCTTCCTCTGGAAAAGGGAGATGAACCATTGCTTCAAACTTTGCCAGGAGAAGACAAAAGGAGAACTTGTCTTTCATAATATATGCAAACGTGCTTGAAAGAAAGTGACAACAAAAAGGGGAAACCAAAGTTTACAAACAATATACAAGGATGAACCGAGAATCAGAAGACCACCAAAAACAAAAAACCTCACATGCTAAATCAATAAGGAATACATATAACACAAAATAAATTTTACATGTTAAACAAAAAGGGTATTTATATAACATGAGAACAAAAAGTCTCCAATAAACAGAGCAGAAGAAACTTGTGATCGACATTCTGCTTCAGAAGTCAGACCTCCAGAAAGTTCTCTTCTTTGGAATTTACAGTCATCACATTCACTTCAAACACATGATGAACTTATGTTCTCTCTTTTTGCTGCATACCAAGAAATGTTAAAGAAGAGAATTTTTTATTCGACAAGAACTATTTAGACTCAAAAGTTTAAGATGTCAAGTGAAGGTCTATTAATAGTTTTTACTATAGTTTTTAACATGCCTCCTTAAAGCCTTCTGACCTCAAATTATGGCCAAGTCAAAATTCAAAGGTTCACTATTCCTGGTGCAGAAACATAATTTCAATTAAGAAAATCAGACCAGCCTACTCAAGACATTTTGAACATGTGACCTAAGGGACAATAGGCACCAACATCAATGACTTGGCTCTTTATGCAAGTAGCTATTCTAAATCTAGCAACCAAAATCGGTTCTCCCATAAATTTCCCTCTGGAAGACTTTGAATTAATTGGTGGTGTAAAGTTAAGCATGAAGTAAGCATTTTTCACAAGGCATTGACAGCAATAGTATATTCTAAGTTGCCATTTCTCAGAGAAGATAAATTTAAAGAAGCAACAACTAAAAATTGTCAACTGCACACACACGCTCTTGCACATGGCCCTAGAAAAAACCATACCAAGAGTTTGAATTTCCCTTCTCTTGTAAGCAGCAGGATACATCTTCAGAAGCAGAAAGTGAAGCATCTGACAGATTGTTGGAAAGTGATAATATGGATGCCTACAAATTGGACAATGGGACTCGCGCAGAGGGTTCATCGACCGATGGACACACCAGAAACAGGATATGTGACCACAAGCTGAAAATGAAAAAATAAAAGTTGGATTGTAATCGGAATGAAAAAGTACAAATTCTTCCTCCATGAAAATAATGTTGCCTTACACAGTACAATAGGCTTGTATAACAGATCCCTGCATGATCAAGGTAGACTAAGATTTAGTACATAAAGACTTAAAATTGGAGTAAAGAAGCCAAAAACCAACTAAAATTGAATTCAGCCAAAAATAAACGACGCCCTTTGTGTTCTATTTTCTTGTTGTCTCTTTGTTTTGGGGAGGTTGGGGGTGTTGTTTGCAAATTTAAAATGACTGATTAATCCTAAGAGAACCTCAATTAGTCCAAACTGGACCAATGTTCGTCGACAAAGGTATGCATGCTCCGATGAAAAGAGGGTCATATAGGGACTTGGGACCGAAACTTAATTTCCAAATACGGCATTAAAATTAAAAGATTCTAACTTTCACTGGATCAGAATCGTTCCTAGTTCTTTTTTCCCCTTCTAGTCATAGCATTTTAATGAAGTGGATTTCACCAACGCATTCATCAACCACTACTTGAAATACTCCACTTGATTCTCGAAAAATAAAATTCCACAGCTTTTTTCAATCATAAAAGAAGAAATCGACATACGATATATCAACCTTAGCAGGTGGCTAGGAGATAATTCACTTTATCTGGCTGGGAAAAAATTAGAATGATGAAAATAAACTTACAGACAAACGCAGCAAACAAAAGATTCAGAGAATTCTTCTTGTTCATTGTCGGTAAGATTTGTATCTTCGCATGCGTTCTCCGTTCCCTGCAGGGCCATTTTTCCCGAGCCGGAAACAGAGAGAAGGGTAATACCAGATGATTAGGGGAAACAAGCTGAGGTTCTGAAAATCTAATTGAGAAGCCAAGCCTGTCGATCTTTCATAAGTAGTATGGTTGGCCAAAAAAATCTTTGACAGTATGATCGATCCTTCGAGACGAACTCAGAATGATTAACTATTAACCAGTTTTAGAATAAAAAAACTCACAATGCTATCCAAGCCAATTGTTGAGGCTGATGTATGCTACATATCTCCATTGAACGAGACCAGAATAACAGAAGTTGGATGCGCAACCCACAGGATTTTTGCGTTTTGTTCGAAAGAATGACAAGAACACCCTCGAATTAGGAATTTCAATACTAAGATACAATTCAGGAGAAAGAGTGTTGAATTTAAAAATTTTAATGTTAAAGAAGTCTTAATTTAACATTAACTTTTATCTGGGGTCCTTATTTATCATTCTCCTTTTATGGTTACAGGCTCGATCCAAAAAAATCAACTGTAATCTACCGGATAACCATAAAAGCCTTACGACTTTAGACAGATTAGAATTTAGTTTTGCCATGGCCTTTTATTTAAAAAACAAAAACAAAAGATCAACTGTACAGTTAAGATAATAAGGCTTAATTGAATGTAGTATGATCGTTCAAATTTGATTTAAACAGCTTAAATTTACAACTTTTTATTTTAATGGTTTTAAAAAATATTTTAATGGATATAGAATATAAAATAAAGACTATCTTTTAACTGTCAGTTTTTTAAAAAAATAATTTTTTATTTTAAAAATATTTGTTAAAAAATTATAAATCTTGACCACAAAAATTAAATATAAATTATCTAAAAGTGATGAGCAATGAAAATAATTTCCTAATAAACGTTTTTAAATTATAAAACAATTTGAAACAAGATTAGGATATCAATAAGTCCAATAATTATAGTTTACAAATTTATTTTATTCAAAATTTTAAACTTTAAAAAATGCCCTATATGCATAATCATTACATTACAATATTAATTTTTTAAAATTATATTATATTTTAAAACAATAAAATAATGATGCACAAAGGTCAAATAAGATCAAGTTAGTTATCAACTCAATGCCTATGTACTAAAATCAAGATCAGGCCAACCTAATATAAAAAGATCAAGTTTGGGTTTTGCATTGAAGAAATGCAATAAATTAAAAAGTAAAATAACAAATACATTTTATATATTAAATTATGTCCATCTAAAATATTTTCATGTAAAATAATATTATGATTTAAAGCAGTAGTTTTAAAAACTCAATAACATTTGTTGTTTTTACTTTATATTAAGCTAAAAAATCAAATTGAAATTTTAAATAAAAATAATATATTGACTTCTCAAAAGTTTTCATAATATTAATAAAGTAATTTATTAAGCATGATCCATAAAATTTAAAAAAATCTCTTAAAATCAATTAATATATATATATATATATATATATATATCAAGTCGAGCAAAACTAGATTTAAACTAAATTTAAGGTCTATCACAACTCTATCACTAAGACCAATCTAAAAAATTAAGCCTATTGAGTCACAGGTTAGTTACACACACCTATAATAAAATATAAACACGAGTTAAATGGACATAATATCCCATTAGCTAGTTCATACACACATTATATGTTAAATTGACACAAACACAAGTCTTGAGTTTGAGTCATGTAAATAAAAAAAAGGTATTTAAAAAAATTACTTTTTATTGGCTCCGACAACAATTGTATTTAATAAGCTACATAAAACATATGTTATTTCCTTTCTTTCCCTTTTATAAGGTTACAATAATTAACAATTAGTAATATATTAAAAAATCAGTATTAGTAAATATTATAAATTTTTAAAGCGTTCTATATTTGCATTTTGGTACAGTTTATTGAAAAGAGATATTCATCCAATAGAAAAAGTGAATCATAAATATTTTATTGAATTTTTAAAAAAATTATATTTAAAAGAAAAAATATAGTCATTGATTCCTATAATTTTATTGCATTTTTATTTTAATTCTTATAGATTTTTTCCATGTTTTCAATTTTTACAGGAACAAAAACCACTGAAAACACTAAAATTATAGAAATTTGATTAAGCTTACTCAATTTTATTGAAACTATAGGGATTAAAAATATAAAAAAAATTACAAGAATTAAAAGCAAAACATAATAAAACTACAGAGACCAATAATTATGTTTTATGATATCTTTATGTATTTTCATATTTTTATAATATTATTTTTTCTGACATATCATATTATTGTCAAAAGCTATTCAAAGTAACTTCTTAAAATAATCAAAATTTTACTTCTTCTTTTTTTCAGATTTTGATTGTTTTTAAAAATTTAACCAAACATCATAAAATTTCACCAAATATATAGTCTGGATGGAGGGAAAATGGGCAGAGATGAAAGCCAATAGAAGAAATTTTAACTTTTTTTGTTTACTATTTTTAAGATTTTTTTAGTTTTTATTCTTCCCTATTTTTGTGTCCATTTGAATGAAGGGTTAATGACATTATAATTATCATCAACTAAAACTTATTTCATAAAAAATAATATAAGAATAAATTTTTTCTTTTACAACTTATTTTTAAGATTATAATTTATTTGTAAACATTTTATAAAAGAGACCCAAAAAAGTATTAAAAAAGGAGAGTGGCATTTAGAGCTCCCAAAAGTAAAACATTTACAGACAAAGTTCAATAAAATTTAAAATTATTCTAAAGGTTTAAATTCTCTACTTGTTATTATCTTTTTCAGTGGAATGACTCATTTACCTCTCCCATAATTATCTATGTTGTTTGAGAACTCTCCTTCTTCATGTCTTATTTTTCCTGGACTTGGAACCTCTAATGTATTATTTTACAATGCCCGTTATAATGTCTCAATTATTTAATTTTATTTTTTATTTTTCTTTAAATCATTAGCTTTTAAAATAAGAGACATTTTTATATTTTGATGTCCTAAAATAGTGAAGATTTGTATCTTTTTACAATTTTTTTAAATAAAAATATCACAAAAACAACTTTTTTTGAAAAATCATAAAAAAATAAAAATTTTTATCATTTCAGAACATCAAGATATCAAAATATTTATGAAAAACAAATCATAGAAAGATTTGTATTTTTTTACAATTTTTTAAAGAAAAATTTCACAAATACATCATTTTATTTTTGAAAAATCATAAAAAGATAGAAAATTTTACCATTTTGGGATATCAAAATATCAAAATGTTTATTATTTTATATAGAAACTAGTGATTTAAAAAAACTAAAAAAATTAAAAAATTGAGAAATTACAAGAGACATTAAAGAAGGTATGTTAAAACCTCTTAACCCTAGTCTTCCTCTCTCTTCCTTGTTGCTCTTCCCTCCCTTCTTTCTAACCAAAACCCAACCCATTTTAAAAGCTGAATTCTAATTTCTTACATTGTTTTTTGTGGAATCAAAGAGATTGATTTTGAGATTCATCTAGAAATATCGTGGGTCCCATGTGTTTTGAAATGTTTAGAGAAGGCATTTGCTTTTCAACTAGAGGAACTCGTTTGATGGAGGTCTGATGATACAAAGTTGTAGAAATAAGAACTCACAAACTCAAAAACAAAATCTTCATCGCCCAAATTTTTCAGCATGTTCGAGTTCATTGTCCATATATTATGGGTTTGATCTGAAAGGGCTATTCGAGAGCAAGGGGAAAACAGAGTTAATGTTCACATCCAAATGCTTAGCCACAGCAATCGTGTTGAAGATCGAGGCAGTGGCGAGAGAGTTTGAGTTTCAAGGTAGGGAATGAGAATGGAAGATAAGGTTTTAGTTAGGAAGAAGAAAGGGAAGATAAACAAGGAAGAGTGAGGGAGGAAGATGATAGTCATCTGGCAGTAGGAGTAGACTATGAAAGGGGCAAATAAGTCATTACACTGAAAAAATACTCCATTTAAAGCCTGAATATTAGGTTGTAAAGTACAAACATGTTGTAAAAAGCTGAACTTTAACTTGAATTTTTTTATTAGGGTTTTCTCATAAATTTAACAAATTAAAGTTTAGCTTTTCACAACAACATTCAGTAAGAATTTTTGTGCACTACACCATTTGAAGTTCGAAAATGAAATTAATTCTAAAACAAAAGGACTTGGTGTTGTGGGGTGTCTTTGATATGGGGAGCTTGTGAATTCATACTTGAAGGGGAGATTGTTAGGTTATCCAAATATGAATGGACTTAGGATGATATGAGAAGTCCCACATTGAATAAAGTTGGCTTAATAACTAATATATAATAAAGAGGAATGGCCAATAAACTTGAATCTTGAGATTTTGAGTTAAGATATGGCGTCCTTCCACCAATCTTACTTATGTCTCCTCCCGTTCCCAATCCATATTTTCACAATATAATATCTGATGTAAAATTTATAGGTTTTTATTGTAATAATTTTTCATTTTAGGGCCTTCAATGTCATCCTCCCAAGACATAATTGCAAATGAAATCTCTGGATCCTTAAAATAATTTTATATTCTATTGAGCCTTGTTTGTAAATTTCTCACTTTTGAGGTCCTTAAATGCATTTCTCTCTAGTAAAAATTTTGAATGGAATATCTCGATGATGCGCGTTCGCAAGGAAGCAAATCATGTTGTTGATTTTCTCGCTCGTAAAGCTCATAATACTTAGCCTGGATTATCAATTATTAGTAGTCCTCAAGAGTTTATTTCGTTGTTGATTTTTTTAAAATTAACACACTTTTCATCACATAATAGAAAAATTTAGCATCTATATTGCATCTTTCTTGTTTTTCACTCAATTTTTTTAACACTGTTGTTTTCAGAAATCATTTATTGGTGTGTCTATATATATATATATAATCTTTCAATCATCAAGAAGATTACTTTTTTTTTTTTAGTTATAGAATGAAAACAGAGTAAGGCAACATTTACAAAGATATAACAATTCTCTCGCGTATGCATGGCAGAGGAGATGTTAAAGATAGAGAAAAGAAAATTGTAGATTTTTCTTGCATGCATGACAGAGAAGAAGATATAAAAGAAGCAATCATGTAATTACCTATTACCAAGAGAGGAGAAGATGATGATTTAGATGATAATCCACTCAACTAATTTTTTGCTCACATTTTTCATGCACAAGAGCAGCTTTTTCACACCTAGAAACAAGAATAGAGAACGCAATATAAGTTGAT